CAAAAGGGGATGAAAGCCTTGTAGTCTTTTTGTGTGGGGGGGCGGGGGGGAGAGAAAACAAAATTTATTAGGAGGAAAACAAAGCTGTGGGTTAACCCCCCTTGTAGAATGTTAAACAATAAAAGCACACATACAAAATCCTAAAAACAATTAAAATGTGTCTAAGTAAAGAGGAAGAAAACAGCCACCTGGGACTACTCTAAAGGTAAATAACACCAAAGTATCAAACCCAACTAAGACTAGCTGGAAGGATACAAAGCAAAATACCTTCCACCTTTCAGAGCACTTCTTAGAAAACTCTGCAAAATTGACTGGAACTTCTGGGTTTTTCTTCTTATGTTCCTCTCTGCATGTCTGCACAAAGAAGGCATATGCAGACATCTTGCCCTTTGGCTTCTTGGGGTCACCTTTAGCCATCCTGACTGTGATGGATGAAAGAAAGAGAAACAAAGAAAAACAAATCCAATGAACAGAATAGAACTACAAGATATACCAAAGGCAGTGTAAAATATAAATCGATATTGCTCTTAGGAGCCCCCCCACACCCCCCAAAAAATGCCTGATGCCACTGGCAACCAAAGACAGACTAGGGAGGAAATCAGCCTCACTGTCACTTGTCATTTAACTTTTGACCAGCATGAAGTGCACAGGTTTCCGAGTTACTTCTCTAAGAGCGATCAAGTTCTCCAAATGGAACAGACCCAAGTGGGGTGGCTCAGCTCTACATTCTGATTCAGAAATGCTATGTTTTGGAAACTGAAACCACAAAGTGGGGAGGATACATTTGTAGGTGATACAGGCTGATGATAGAAGCTTGAAACCAATGACTTAAAGCTAGCTGGTCATCTGTTTTACTCCCATGTTAGAAACAAAAATACTGTCAGTGCTGCTAAACACAAAATCAAAGCAGAACTGTAAATAGGGAAATTTTTATATTTCAGTATTTTTGCTGCATTTTGACTTACAAAAATGGCTTTTACAAGAATGGTTATACAGCAAGTGAGCAGATACCCCTGCACTATTAGTTCAAATCTGTCTCTTCGTCATTATCTAAAGGGGCAGGGGATATGAAAAGGGCTAAGTCTTGCTCATCTATAAAGCGGAATGCATGTCCAGCCAGAAATACTTTGGAGAAAGTTTGCAAATAAAAATGCAGCTGTGGCGTGTCATAGTCCCTTTCCCACCCCCGAGCTTCCCGCCATCTTTTCCTTTTCCCACACCCAAGGTCATCATGTAAAACTAAAGCACTCCCCTTTGCGGGGACCGACCCAGGGGCTGCTTTAGGGCTCCACAGTGGCTGTGCGTGTGAGGCAGGACAGAACACAGGGGAGCCTCTGGCCGGCAGTGGGCAGCCAGACTCGGCCAGTGCTGGGTCACCTGGACACCCATAATTCACCTTCCATTTTGTCAAAAGCTTCCTGATGAAAGAAAGTGCCCCTGAAATCCACCGTTGCCTCCCCCGAGGGAGGCGCGAGGCCAGGGACAGCGATGGCA